GCACTGTCATACGCCCAGCTGGGCAACGTTTGCGCTGCCAGACACGGAGCAGTCGTGGCTAGCGATTGTGGTCATAAAGTCGAATGGTCTTAAGTTGCATAGGTCGTAAGTCGATTAATACCTGTACTCAGTTTGTACTAATTTAATTCAGTTGTTGCATTGGCATTAAATTTTTTTTTTTCATTTGCAGACTTTCTTATAAAGGAAAGTAATAATCTGACTACACACGTATATTTCATTGAAGCTTGAATTATTTTATGCTGTTATTTGAATGTTTAAGTTAGAACCAGATCACTTTTGGTGAACTAAATAGATTCCTGAATAGTACTAAACACAAATCTTGCCAAAAGTGGTGATCTTGCCAAGGTGAAAACATTAGTAAGAAAAGACAACAGGCCTCTTTTTGTCATCATTGTATTGAGATAGATTTTATATTGAAACAACCACTGTGGACACTAAGAGTGAAAATATAGTGAATGACCAGAGATTTATTCATATAAAAAGTAGGTAATTTAGCATGAATGTGGGCAAAAAAAATTTAGTGGCAAAGAAGCATTTGTTTTAATATTCAGTGGGGAAGGAAAATGTTTATATTAGAATTTTGTAAAATATCTTTAGCCACTAGAGGGAGTTGTACAGTGTCTCTTTTTTAGATAAAGAGATTAGTAGTTAAAAAATTAAGTCTGTTTAAACAAACACTATTTTGATGACAGCCTGTTTGAGCCATGAGTACTCTGAACAACCCTCAGGTGCATGATACAGTGTCTGGCGCATAGTAGGCACTCAAAATGGCCTGTTTACTTCAATTAATATTTCATGTAATGAATTCCAGTGGAGTCAAATAATTTGGACAGGTACTTGGAGCACATTGTCATTCAAGATTGATCTGTAGCATTGCTTTAGGCAGTTTTTAAGTTTGTTCACAGGGAACCATTTATTTATTCTCAGCCCTATTGACTGTGTATATATTCCTTAACTTTGAAAAAATTAACCAATAACAGTGGAATTCAAATAACTTTATTATAGAAACTTATAAAATGAGAGTAAATCAATGTCAGTGATGCTACAAATTAGTTAATAGAAAGGAATTTATCTATTTCATTCTATCTTGTCTGTTGCAAAAGAATGTATATATATGTTTGTAGTAAAAATTCAAATAGAAAAATAGAGAAAGTTAAAGATCCTAGCACTGCTATCATAGAGGCAATGAACGATTACTAGCAGATTGTGTATGTTCTTCTGATTTTGTAATTTATATATAATTTTAAAACAAAATAGTTAAACTAGTCATGGGTTTATTACTTTTTTCCCCCACTAATGTATTATGAACATCCTTCTCTTTGTGTGTATAATCTGCCTCTTCTTGCATAGTATCCTTATTCAGTATATCTCTATAAGTAACACAAAATTTCAGCTTATATTAGTTTGAATAATAAGGAAACTGATTATGTCACATAACGGAGGTTGGATGGTTCTAGATACAGATAGTCAGGGTATGGCTATGCTTCTTACTGATTCTCCTGGTTATTATTCTCAGGCTGGTAGTGAGATGGCAGCAGTTTCTCTTCCTTGAGTTTTCCTAATCGTTGGGAAGGACAGTGGGATCACAGTATTTAATTAATTAGTCTAATCATCAGGGTTGAGATGAATGTTGAGCAATTAATCATCATTACAAGTATTCCATGTACTATGATTTATTTAACTAATTTCCTATTAAAGTTTATTATCAAATTTTCATGATTATAAAGTATAATTTTGTATACTTGTGCAAAGGTTTTTGTAGACTGGATTACTGAAGTAACATTCCTAGATCAAAGGAAGTTGATAGACACTGTCAAACTAAAGTTCTAATTTGAAGAATATGTGTATATCCACATACATATTCTTACTAATAGAGTGTAGATTTCCCTGACTCCCCATCAGGCCTCTTTACCTCTTATCAATCTATTGGGGCTGCTGCCTACAGGGATCTGCCAAGAGAGAAGACTATGCACTATAGTAGCTTCATCTGATTTCTAAGAGGAGGCATAAGCCCTGGCCATGAATTTTTAAAAGTCTGATTTATAGAGCCACCATTTATTAAATTTCAGTGGAATATTACTGATTGAATCACAGAGGTAGCATTTATCTTACCCAGCCTTCCTGCCTCCATTCTCTTTTCTGCCTCACGTTATAGAAAACTCAGTAGAAAATAACATCCAGTCCTCAAAAGGCAGCTTCAAGACAGGGAAAATTGATGCTAGTTAAGATAGGAAATGTTCCCATGTGAAGTGTGAGCAAGAGAAAAGAAATGGCACAACAACCCTAAAAATGTACTCTAGAAGAGGAAAAAAGGACGTGCAGAAGAGGAAGAATCTGGCCTGACCCTAGAAGCAAAAGCAAATGAAAAAACCTCCACATGGTTTACCATGAAAAATAGTACTAAGGATATGAATTGAGTAAATTAAGAGCAAAGATGAGAGCATGAAACAAAATGATGTGGAGAAGATGATTGCAGAATTAGTGAAATAAATTGGGAATACACAGGTCACTATTACAGGTCATAAATGAAAAATATCAAGAAACAGACAAATTAGAAAGTCAGATTTTAGCGTGGAAGAAAGGTTTGAGCTAATCAAAATGAATGAGGGGTAGTTAGGGGGTTGGGAAGAATAAAGCATTTAGAGAAGATGTGATTATATAGAGGAGAAACAAAAGAGATGCAAACCTAAGATTAGTTAGTGCCTCTAAAATACCCAACGAAAAATGATTCAAAGATATGATAGAAGACAGTTTCCACAATAAGGGGATTCTCCAATTTGTACTTTAAAGGGACTCACTATATCAAGAAAATAATGAATGGATTAGAGTTACAGAACAATGTAAATAAAAACTAATACAAGCAATGGAAGTTGTACAGTGCGGGAAGGAGGAGTGAAGAAAATATAATTGTACCCCTTATATTCCCAACTATTCTGGCTGTCCTCAGATACTAAGCCTGTTTGGTACAACCTCTTCAGGGAATAAGTTTTAAATGAAATTCTACATTTCAAACCATGAGCCCCTACCTTACACCTAGCCTCTTTCCCCCACTCGGCCCAAAGTACTGGGAGCCAGGCTTATACCATCTAGGCAGAATATTGAAATATTTCTTTTGAGGGAAAATGGTACAAAAGAAAAACTTAACAGATACTGACATTTGGGATTCTCTAAGGGAAAGTCAGGATTCCTACCCAGTCCCTAGTTCTGTGTTGAATTATCATACTTATGCATGGTAAGCATCCAGTCAACTGTTTAAAAGTTTCACTTTGTTGTTGCTGTTGTTTAAAAATAGTATTATTGAGATATAACTGCATACCATAAAATTAACTCATGAAGTATATAATTCAGTGGTTTTTAGTATAGGCACAGTCGTGTAGCCGTTGCCACAATCGAATTTTGAGACATTTCACCACATCAAAAAGAAACTATTAGCAGTCATCCGGTATTTCCACCCTTCTCTCCACGGCCCACACAACCACTACAGAACTGTCTAATCTTTTGGCTTTTGTGGGCCACATTGGAAGAGTAAGAATTGTCTTGAGCCACATATGCAATATATTAATACTCAAGATTGCTGATGGGCTTTAAAAAAAAATCTCATAATGTTTTAAGAAAGTTTATGAATTTGTGTTGGGCCATATTCAAAGCTGTCCTGGGCCACATGTGGCCCGTAGGCCATGGGTTAGACAAGCTTACACTCATATGTTTTCTATCTCTGTAGATTTGCCTAGTGTGGACATTTCATACATGGCATTTTAAGTAGAATGAGAAGTAAAGAATCACCAGATATTTGGGGAATACCTCAAATAAAATCCAGAAATGAAAACAACAGAAAAGAAACTCAGGGGAAATAGAGGCAATAAATAAAGACAGAAGATAACTTAAAAACTTTTTTTTTTTTTTTCAAACTTTACCTTAAAAGGTGAGCTGGAAGCAGTTAAAAGGAATATACAGAGAACCAGAAAACTTTTGGGAAATAAATATACTATTAAACACAACAGAAGTAGAGACAAAAGTTGAAAAAATTCCCTAGTCAAACAAAAAGTCAAAAATGGCAAAATGAGTTAAAAGATAAGAAAAGCAGAAAATAGCTCAAAATAGTAGTATTCCTAGCAAAAAGAGTAAGGAAGAAATCCTTAAGAGACCTGATCAAAAAAGGTCTTTCAATAAAAGAATTTTAAGAACCAGAAGACCTGAGATTATAGATTAAGAAGGCCCATATATTTTCAGCATAGTGGATGAAAAAAAAACACTTTAAAACACATTTTGATGAAAGTTTTGATAACCAGGAATAAAGGGATTATTCTAAAAGTTTCCAGAGAATGAGAGGAACATGATACCTACAGAGGACCAGAAACCAGAATGGCACTGAACTTCTCAAGTGGGAATCAGAAAACAATGAAGCAATGCCTTCCAAATTCTGAAGCAAGGCCAGGCACTATGGCTCACACCTGTAATCCCAGCACTTTGGGAGGCCGAGGTGGGCAGATCACTTGAGGTCAGGAGTTTGAGACCAGTCTGGCCAACAAGGTGAAACCCTGTCTCTACTAAAAATACAAAAATTAGCTGGGCGTGGTGGTGGGTGCCTGTAATCCCAGCTACTCGGCAGGCTGAGGCAGGAGAATTACTTGAGCCCAGGAGGCGGATGTAGTAAGATCTCAGCAGTAAGCTGAGATCGCGCCACTGCATTCCAGCCTTGAGCAGAGTGAGACTCCAACTCAAAAACAACAACAAAACAAATTCTGAGGCAGAATGATTCCCAACAATTACAGTAAAGTCATTTGCAGACTTAAAACATCTCTAAGAATCTATTTTCCATATACCCTTTCTCAGGAATCTATTGAAAGAGGTGCTTAAAAAGAAAAGCAAAAGGAAAAAAGGAACATAGATGGAAGAAGTCTTGAAATTTAGAAATAACAGATCCAAAAGAACTGAGAGAGGGAAAGAGAATTCACAAGATGCTTGTGAAGGGACCTCACAGCACAGCAGCTGTGTATGGTCCTAGGTGCCTCCAAAAGGATGGAAGGAGTGGGGAGAAGAGATCAAGGATTTAGAGGCGATACTTAGCTTTGAATATTTTAAGATGGTTTACTGACAGTTACATAAGCAAACGGAGGGACAAAAAGAGCAGTTGTTAACATCCATGGACAATTAAAGATTATGTTTACCATGAGAAAAGCAGTGTTTAATTGTGGTTTACTGTGTGGTTCACTGTGATTAGCAGTTTTATAATCATCATAATGTAGACACTGTGCTATTGATTCAGTTGAAAGGAGGAGCTGTTACTGTTGAAGAAGGGGCGTGAGTCAGAGAGAAATGTGTATGTGGAGGTAGGCAGCTTGTAGGTAAAAGGTGCTAAGTCCTCTTCTCTCATAGTAGAAGGCAGAAAGTAAGTTAATCTTGAAAAATCTATACTTATTATTTTTTAATTTGAGGTAAACAGAAGAAACAGCAAAAGGAGTTGAAAATATCTGCCTTGGAGCAGACATCAGGAGTGGGGAGGGATGGAAGAGGAGACTACTAGTTTTATTATTAGTCTAATTGTAGTCCTTTAAAGATGTCACATACATTATTTTGATAAATGTAACATTTTTACTTTAAAAAGGTAGGCTACAGAGTTGTTTTTTTTGTTGTTGTTTTGTTTTGTTTTGTTTTGTTTTTTTCTTTTTTGAGACAGTCTTGCTCTGTTGCCAGGCTGGAGTGCAGTGGCATGATCTCGGCTCACTGCAACCTCTTCCTGCCGGGTTCAAGCGATTCTCCTGCCTCAGCCTCCCGAGTAGCTGAGACAGGCATGGGCCACCATGCCCAGCTAATTTTTGTACTTTTAGTAGAGATGGGGTTTCACCATGTTGGCCAGGATGGTCTTGATCTCTTGACCTCATGATCTGCCTGCCTTAGCCTCCCACAGTGCTGGGATTACAGGTGTGAGCCACTGTGCCTGGCTGAATTTTTCTATTTTTAAAAATAGGTCTTGGTTCCCTTTTTTCTACATTTATTATATGTAGGATCATAAACACTTGGCTACAACAAAATATAGGGCAACTTCTTGGATGATTGTACTTTTTATTTTAATAAACATAAGATGACCACAAGTGTGCTGGAGCCATGACAAATGTGAAGTCATGGATCTTGCCTCTTAGCCCAAGGAACTGAGAGCTTAGAGGTTAGAAAGGTATATATATAAATCTTATTGAAACATCTCTGAGCATATAGTTGCCTTGATTAAAAACCTTCGTGGTTCCAAACTAAATTCTTAGTTTGACATTTAAGAATTTTCTAAAATTCTAGCCCTAAATCTACCACAGTGAGATACCATTTCATACCAATTACAATGACTATAATAAAAAAAGATAATGACAAGTGTCAGGAGGGTGTGGAAAAATTGGGATCCTCATACACTGCTGGTGGGAATATAAAAATGGTTCAGCCACTTTGGAAGAGGCTGGCAGTTCCTCAAGTGTTTAAACATAGAGTTTCCATTCAACTCAACAGTTCTGCTCTGAGGTGTAATCCCAAGAGAGATGAAAACATGTTCACACAAAAACTTGTGCATAAATGTTCATAGCAAAGTTATTCCTAATAGCCAAAAAGCAGAAACAACCCAAATGTCCATCAGCTGTTGAATGGATAAATAAAATGTGGAATATCCATAGGAGGGAATATAATTGAGCCATAAAAAGGAATGAAATACTGATACATGCTACAACATGGATGAACCTTGAAAACATTATGCTAGGGAGAAGAAGCCAGTCGCACATGTTTTATGATTCCGTTTATATGAAATGTCCAGAATAGACAAATCATAGAGAAAAAGGTAGCTTAGTGGTTGCCTAGGGCTGGGAGGAAGGAGAAATAGGGAGTGATTGGAGTTGGGTAAAGAGTCTGTGGGTGATGAAAATGTTCTAAAACTTAAGAGTGATGATGGCTGCACGACTCTGTGAATATACTAAAAACAATTGATTTGTATGCTTGAAATTAGTGAATTGTATGGCTAGAAAGGACTTTCTAGGGTAATTTTTCATTCCACTCTATAAAGCTATTTTTAAAAATCCTAACTCTGCCCTACTTTTCCAGACTCATTTCTCATTCTTCCACTTGGCCTCAAGCAAGTGCAGCTCTTTTTCCAGTCCTCCAGTTTAAGACCTACTGCTACCCATTGTTTCCATTCTAGCTGAACTTCCTCCTATTCCATAAAATAGAAAAAGTGAATTCTTCCCAACAGAAAGTAATCTCTGCCCCCAACCTCTACCACACCTTATGTCTCCAGGCACATCACTTTACGTATTATGGTATAGAGGAGATGTGTAAGTAGAAGCTTAGTCAACATTTGTCAGCCACATGTACTCAAAAATTAGCCTAGAAAATCTTTTAAATTGCTTGAACAGTACAATTCTCTTTACATCAAACTTGGCCAGTTTTTCCTTCCAAGATTGGAACAGATCCCTCTTCTGTTGAATGCAAGTTGAAAAAGGTGACTTGCATTTATAGATCTTATATGAAATAAAAAAGTACAACAAAACCCTACAAATAGTACAAATTTGGATATATGTGATTGGCTTTAGCCCGTTCTTAGCCCTACTTCTCAATGGAAACAAGCTAAGGCTCTTATCTTGTGTAGTTGGGAGTGAGATGGATGGATGATAGAGGGATTGATTTATGAACTGACTAGTCATAATTTGGGACTTCTAAAATTCAGTGTACATTTTGTGTGTAATAATTGGCCTGTTTCTAATGAAAGATATCATCTAACAAAACAAATGTTTTCCCCATTTCCCCCCATCATTAACTTCCAGTAACTTCACCTTGCAATTTAAACAATTGAATATTTGGACCCCACTTACTGCACTGCAGTGGGCTTTTCCCTGACTGTAACCAGACTCCTGTTCTACACCATGAAGTGTTCACATTATCAGGGCCAGGCTGAAACTAACACCTACTAAGACAATGGCAGAATCAAGTCTTTCCACCTTTACACTCTCAGGTGTGCACTTAGTAAATAGGAATGGTAGGCAAAATCACCAGATCTTTTGAAATATTTTGTTCTTGTTCTCTGCCTGTTTCTTGCCAAGTAAATTGAATTGGTTTATATAAATGAAATGTGGTGTACGAAAGACTAGTTGAGGCCAGGCATGGTGGCTCACGCCTGTAATCCCAACTCTTTGGGAGGCCAAGGTGGGTGGATCACGAGGTTAGGAGTTCGAGACTATCCTGGCCAACGTGGTGAAACCCCGTTTCTACTGAAAATACAAAAATTAGCCGGGTGTGGTGGCATGTGCCTGTAA